TTCCCAGAACACTCATCCAGCTGATGCAAACCGTCAAAAATGAGGACAAGCTAGCTGAACAGGGACATGTTGTCCCTTTATATTACCTGTGCTTGGGCACATAGAGAGTGGACTTTAACACCTAATACTTGGAGTTAGGGCCTGAATGTGATTTCAGGCCCCTGGACCCTGGTCCTAAGAACACAGAGTGGGGACCTGGTTGGAGGGAGGACTGGCCTTTCTACATGGACTGTGGTCCTGTGTTGGGTTAGGTTGATGCTGGAGACACAGCAGGTGAAGCCCAGTGGGCCTATGAAACAGGTGCCGGGAGAGGAAAGGTCACAGGCTATGCCCCCACTTTCCCCATCCTCGGGTAAGTTGTGCCTTTAGGGACACCAGGTGGTGACACAAGAGGCAATCACTCCTCAGGGCCCCAACCTTCTCTCTGGAATGTCTGAAAAGATTACTGCCCCAGAGAAGGATCAGAGTGTTCAACACACTTCCAGTCTTCAAACTCTGGGGCTATTAGTCAAATGCATCAGCTGGTTATTCCACCAGACAGAATTCTCTGTCTGCCCCACAGTTTCCCTACAGAGACAAAGCTCCAAGAAGGACGGTGGTTGCCATTTCAGGAGCTGTCCTCCTTGGGCCTTTGGGAGCTGTCAGGGTGCCCCTGGGCCCCTGGCTAATGGGTATCTATCCATCCCTCAAGCTTCCAGGGAGGGTAGCAGCCACCTGCTACCACCCTCAGCTGCAGACTGGTGATGCCTAGGCCAGACTGAGGCTGCCCCGTGAGTAGGGGGAGTCATCACAGGCCCCCCCTGACTTGTGAGCTCTCCACATTCAGTGGTGTGTTCTCCTTGCCCCCTTCCTAACTTGCCTTTTTGGATCTGAAATTCATTCACACTGAGGTGTGGATGACTGGTAAGAAGGGAGATAGATATGTATTTTATTTATTTAGATATAGGTATATAGTTAGGGGCCTGAAATTTCCATAGCGGGGTGCCAAGTTCAGGTTGCTCTCTTGGTCTGGGGAGGCCTTACCTGACAGGTTCTCTTTGCATAAAGATAGGACCCCAGCTTCCCAGGGAGCAGGGACATGCCTTCTTTCCTGACGGAAGGTGGAAAAGTGTGGGGAGCGACTTCGAAGAGCAGAGTACTGTGGTGAGAAGGAGGTTCCTGCCCTCAGGCCCTGGGCCCAGCCCTCCTAGATGTCGGAGCACCAGTCATTTCTCCATCCCTGCAATTCGGCTGAGAAGCCCGCCCCGCCTCCACTGTAGAGTGGCTGTTAAGCCCCATATGACAGCAGAGCTCTGAAAGGAGCTTGTAACTGCTACTTGCCGTGTAGCTCAGGTTGCTGATATGTCCTATGGCTGGAGAGGTGAGAGGGAGGCTAGAGTGATCCCGAGTGATCAGGAAAGGATGAGTCCCCCGAGTTAGAGGCCAGGCCCTGTGTATAATAAGCCTGGGGGCCTCTGGTCTTCAGCCACTGCATTGAACCGCATCTACTGACGTAGGATTTTTTCCATAATTCCATTCACCAAACTGTGAGCCTATCCAAACGGTCAGGACCCTTTGGTCACAAAAGGGTTAGAAACCCAACTCAGCTTCAGCAAAAGGGACCTATTAGAAGGCTGCCAAGTAAGTCTCAAAACCAGAGGCATTGCTGAGGAGCCAGGCAATTCTGGGACGTCAGACTTGGGGACCGAAGGTACTGGGTGCTCTCTGTCCGCCCCTCTTTTCTGCTGGTCTCCCCCAGGCTTCATTCCCTCCTGCTGCAGGGAAGGGAAACAGCCTCCAGCAGCAGGAGAAGAATACCCTTGAAGGACATCCGCCCTGGTGTCTACCTCCACCTTTCCAGCTGCTCTAACAAATCCCAAGAAGGGCCCTGATTGGCTGGCATCAGGCATCCCTGAGCCAATCACCCTGACCAATATGGGACACTCCTATTGGCCAGAGTCTGTTCTCAGAAGGGGCAGGGCAGCTCCAACACCTTTTCCAACACCAGCTCCAGGCACCCACCCCTCCCATCCTCCCCTTCGCGCCCCCCCACCCCCCCGTCCCCGGCTAAAGCAGACCTGACCTGGGATGGGGATTAGTGGAAAAAAGAGTCAGAAACAGCCCCTGCACCTCAAGGAGCTCATAGTCTAGCGTAGGTGTGGAGGGTGGTCAGTCAGATCACTGAAGGGATACAGGTACAGAGGTCTGATAAGGGCCAGGGATCAGGGGCACCGCCCCCGCAGGGAAGGACTATGCTTCCCACTCTCTTTAAGTTTTTCTTTAAATTCCAGTTAGTTAACAAACAATGGTTAATCTGAGCGGAGGTGGATGGGGGATGGGTTATATAGGTGATAGGGAAAGCGAAAACTGTCAACTCCCACCTTATTAGGAGGTTAGTGGTTTCGACCTTTGCCCTACAAATGACATCAGACCTGGTAGTATGGAGTTTCTGTAGACGCTGCAGGACGGTGGGGGTTCTTTCTACAAGCGCCACGTAACTGGAGCACATGGAGGGACGCTCTGCCTCTTCCTTCTGAGGAGAGGGCTCAGGACCCTGGAGCCCACCTTGGGGTGGGCCCTGTGGTGTTAGGCCCACAGGGGGCCACAGGCTCCAAAGAGTAGCAAGAAAGATGAAGACCAAACCTCAGGAAGAGATGTCGGGTCCTAAGACAATGAAGCCCTAGAAAGTGGAACCAGCGCCAGCCAGGTCCAGAGGGCAGCTCACCTGGACCCAGGTGGGGTGTCCCAACAAGGTGGCCTCCCAGGAGGAAGGAGAGGGAAGGGCCTCCCTGGATGGATGGTGAGACTAGGCACCCTTGTGAGAAATACCTAGAGAGTGGGCTCCAGGGCAACTCCAGCCAGAGACCTGGAGCTCCCCCCACCCAGGCTGGGTCCTGTTCCCTTGGGTGTGGCCCACAGTGTGTCTTGGGATACATCCTGGTCCAGAGAGAATACCAGAAATGTTTTCAGCCAGAACTCTGGAGGGAACTTTTGGCGGGAGCCCCAGCAGCCCAGAGGCAGAGCTGGCAGGAGCAGGGCTGGCCTGTTGTCTCTTATCTCCTTGTGTGGAGGAAAGATGGACTGCCAGGCCCCTCCATCCTAATCCAGCCCAAACACCGCCACTGCCCCTTTGTCTGCTGCCTTCCCTCTAGAGATAGGGAAGGGCCTCACTCAAGGATACCACCTCAGGTCAGCACTCAGAGGTGGAGCTCCAAGGTACTCTCTCCCCAACCCAAGACCCCTGTCCCCCACCCCCAGCCTCACCGCACTCCCCCGCCCACCACCACCCCCAGTACCGGTTTAAGACATTATCTCAGAGGAATTTCCACACCCGCCTGCAGAAGGAAGATATTATCCTGTGGTACAGATAAGGAAACTAAAGCTCAGATATGTTAAGTAAATTGGCCAAGGTCACCGGCAGAGCCAGAAATGCAAAGTCATCTGGCACCTCCAAGTAGCATACCCTCCCAGCCACACCCTCTGAGGGGCTATTAGTCAAATGCACCAGCTGGTTATTCCACAAATCCGGACACAATCAGTTTGTGAATTTGCATTTGATTTGCATAAGGGTATCACAAATACATAGATATCTTCCATACACTGCCCCATACCCTTCCACCCTCTGTGTGTGCCTCTGTCTCTGTCTCTCTCTCCCCCCCACCCCCACCCCGCCCTGCACACAGCCAGACTCTTCCTCCTTGCGATGCCTTGTGGACTGGGGAGTACCATCTGGTCCCCTCCATCTGCCAAGGACACCTTTGCTGGTTCAGAGTGTTCCTTCCCACCGGGCATTACACAGTGCACCGAGTCAGGGAGCAAATCGGAGGGGAAACTGCCGGGAGGAGGAGCTCGGTGCGGAGCGGCCCCATTTCAGCCTGCAGCCGCGGGGCAGCGCCGATGCAGCAAGGAGTCACGAATGGACAATCGCGGAGGAGGGTCCCCAGCCCCAGATACATCCTCTCTTCTGTCTCCAGCCCAGATTTAGCTGCCTTTTCGCCTCCCACGCCTTCCCGCTGCCGTCTGGAATGTCGGGAGGCTGGGAGAACTAGGAAGACTGGATCGGGATATTGGTGGCGGGGGCGGGGCGGGGGGCTGGTCGGCGGAGCCAAAGCGCTCAGAGGGGAAGAGGGAAGGTGCTCTGGACGGAGCATGGGTCTGGTCCCCCACCCCCCCTCCATCCCCCGCCCCCCATCTTCCTCTCTGCCTACACTATGCAAAACGGTAGCCACTAGCCACACGTGACCTTATCGAGCCATCTGATTGTGAAGGCATAGTATAAAAAAATGTATATAAAATATCTCATTCGTTTTTATATTTATTACATATTACAAGGATAATACTGTGGACATACTGGGTTAAACATAAAATTAATTCCACCCATTTCCCTCTTTTTTTAATGTGGATGCTAGAAAATTTTAAATAATATATGTGGCTTGCATTTTGATATGTGTTGCATTTCTATTTGGCTTGCTGTCCTCAACTCCAACCTCCTGGTTAGGCAGTTGCTGTTTTGTAAAATAAATACAATAAATATTTTTTTAAAGTAAGTACCTAAGTAAGTGTCCAACATGTATCAATTACTTACCATTGCTGTGTGTGTATTATTGCCCAAAATGTGGGCCTGCCCCTTGCTATAGTTGTACGGGTCACAGTATACTATGCCTCTTTGGATGCGTTATTTTACATTATTCACTTGTCCTGCTTCTCTTAGAGGTAACTACCATCCTCATTTCACAGAGGAGGCACATGAAACTATAAGAGACTCAGTAACTTGCCCAGGGCCACACAGCTAGCCAGTGGGATTTGTGCCCGGATCTTGTCTACTCCAGAGATGGACCCTTGAGAACCACTCTGTGCTACCTCTCTTGCTAAACATCCACTGAGGCCCTCCAAAATTAAGCCCTGCACCCCTCCTCTCCCTCCAGGTTCCCACAGGCATTAAGGACCTGCCCGTGTGAGGCACTCCTCATCACAAGGCCATTGCCAAGGGACTACCTGTCCGGAAGCTGCCAGTCCACAATATGCAGGAAACCCTAGCGACATCGACCTTGTTGTTGGTCCCCAGCCGATCCTCAATCTCCATGCAGGACAAGTTCTCCACTGCAGGCCAGACTTCGAGTGCAGGCCCCCAGCCCTCAAAGCCCTCAATCATCCCACCCCATAGCAAGTCCAAGGGCTGGAATTCTGGGACCAAAGTACGTCGGATGCGCCGGATTATAGCCGAGGATCCCGAGTGGTCCCTGGCCACCGTTCCCCTCCTCACAGAGCTCTGCATTCAGCACATCGTCAAGAACTTCCACAGTGAGTTTGTCCCCACCCTGGGCAGAAGAGAAAGGCCAGGGGTAGGACAGGTTGGGTGGGGACTGCCCAGAGGCTCGGCTTCAGAGGCTGGGTCCTGGGGCAGCCCCAGCCTTTCTCAACATGGCTGTCCCGCTTGGGGGGCGGGGGGTGGACAACTTTCCCATTCTCTCTGGCAAAACCCAGCCCAAACCGTATTTACAGAACACCTCCTCCAGTAAGCCCTCCCTGGTGGACCATCCTCCATTCCCTTGGCCTTCCCCAGTGTGTGTATGTTCTTGGTTTGTTCTGTACTCTGTGCTCTGCAAATGGCCATCCTTTGCAAAGATGAGCAGCCAGCCTCTCCTAGCAGATGGGGTGCTCTGAGGGCAGGATCATCATATTATCTACAGCACCTACAACCCCCTGACCTACAATATATTCGCCTGACTGATTTACTGTCTGCCTCCTCTCCCAAGGGGGAGTGGTTCCCTCTGTCTTGTTCACTCTTATATCCACACCCCTTAGAACAGTGTCTAGTGCACAGTAGGTGCTCAAACATCTTCTTGCTTTAAGATGAATGAATCAAATCATTTGGGAATCTCAGAACTCAGGATTATCTCCTGCATCAGACCAAGTGATCACTGAGGGCTAGACCAGAGATCCTTGCTTACACTGGGAGCTCTGGGAAACCAGATACTAAGCTGTCCACCTTCAGGCAGGGAACACCCAAAGCCTGGGGCTGCATCTCCCCCCTCAGACTGAGCCTCCCTAGGAGTAAAGGCTGTCTCCCCTCTCTGACTGAGGCTCCCTGAGGGCCAGGGAGGGTCTTGCATTCCCTTGGTGCCCATAGGCAGGCCCGGCCGCTGGCATCAGGCAGAAGGCTCCCCAACACTGTGACTCCTGCTTTCCTTCCTGTTCCCAAAGACAACCCTATCCTGAAGCGGCTGCTTCCAGAGCACCAGCAGAAGGTGCTGAACCACTTGTCACCCGACCTGCCGCTGGCAGTGACCGCCAACCTGATCGACGACGAGAACTACTGGCGCCGCTGCTGCGAGCAGCGCTGGCCCGTGTGCCACGTGGCCAGGCACGGCGGCAGCTGGAAGCGCCTGTTCTTCGAGCGGCACCTGGGGAACCTGATCAAACAGTTCATCCCGAGCACCACGGACCCTGCCGTGATCCTCGACCTGCTGCCGCTCTGCGGAAACTACGTGCGCGGGCTGCGCGTGGACCAGTTCCTTCCGCCGGTGCGGCTCCCGCCCCAACCCCGGAGCGGGGAGCTGTCCGACTCCGGCAGCGAGGTGGAGATGGAGGAGCCCGCCACGGACCACTACCAGCTGTGTGACTTGGTGGCTGGCCTGAGCCACCTGGAGGAGCTGGACCTGGTGTACGGGGTCAAGGACTGTGGCATGAACTTTGAGTGGAACCTCTTCCTCTTCACCTACCGGGACTGCCACTCGCTGGCGGCCACCATCAAGGCATGCCACACCCTCAAGGTACCAGCCGGCCCTGCCTTCCCCCACCTCCCACTCTCAGCGCCTGTCTGATTCCCTCTCCCCTCCTGTTCCTCCTCCTCCATCCCCATCTTCTCCCTCTTATTTCCTTCTTATTCACTGACCAAGTGTCTTTGAATGCACTGGGCACCAAGCTGGATCCTGGGGATGCTAAGATGAACAAGGCACTGTCCTCCCAATTCAGGAGCCATTTACTCATCCAAGGAACACTTGCTCCCCAGGCCCTATCCTAGGTGCTGAAGATTCAAGAGGGAGCGAAATTATACTATTTGTGCCCTCTGGAGCTAACAGTCTGGTGGGATAAAAGGCACTCATCAGCAATCATGTAAATGTGAAATTACAACTAGGATAGGCTTGCTAGATTTAGCAAATAAAAAATACAAGACATCCAGTTAAATTTGAAACTCAAATACACAACGAATAATTTTTTTTAGTAAAGTATGTCCCAAATATTCTGGTTGGAAGGGGGAAAGCCTGCCCAAAAATCAGAGAAAGAGGAAAAGGGGGATGTGGCCCTGAGTCACAGAGCCAAGGGAGGGGTGCGTTTCAAGAAAAGGGGAAGGCAGCAATGTGGGGGGGAGTGATGCTAAGGACCAAATTTAGCAAACCTGGAGGTCACAGAGATGGAACTGTCAGTGGAGTGCCAGAAACAGGGACCAGATCCTAGTGGTTTATGGAAAGAGTGGGAAGTGAGGAAACAGGATGGCTGTGATCAGCTTTTTCAAGAACTTGGCTGTGAAGGGGGCGAAGGGGAAATCAGTAATACATGAAGGGTTGGGGTTTTCTTAAAAATATATTGGCATGTGTTTAAAACCAGTGTAAAGCTCCTTCCAATAGCAAGAAAGCAGCTGAGTCCAGGAGAAAGGCACAGGTTCGCTGAACAAGGAAGGTTCCTGAGATTGCAGGAGGGGTGGGATTGAGGAAGGTGGTGGGACAGTTGGCTCTGGGCAGAGGAGAGAGTGGATGTGGTGGGTAGCAGTGGGCTACTGTTTGGTATTAGGAAAATGAGGGGTTCTCATTGAATGGCCAGGGTGGTCGGAGGAGACTTAATTGCTGAAAGGAGGCTGTAGGGTTTTGAATCACTATCCCCTGAAGTTTGAGGAATCTGGAGAAGGTTGAAATTATTGTTTTAGAGGAGGAGAGAGTAGGTTGTCCAGAGAAACAGGGCTGAGTTGGAACACAGCATTGAGGGTCTCTTGGTGGTTCCGGCAATAACAACCAGTCCTGTCATGTGACATTTTCCATCATCTTGGTTGCTTGGGCACAGATATGCAGCAAACAGAGAGTGGGGTTGATCCAGAGTTGGAGCTCTGCCAGATAGGTGCAATGAAATGACAAGAGGGACAAGAGGCTCTAAGTTGGCCGAAAGGGACGTAAAGAAAGGGGACTGAAGGACAGGAAGAGGGTGGAGAGGCCTCAAGGAAGAGGGAGGAGTGGAGGGAGCTGGTGAGAAGGGGGAGGGTTAGAGCTCCCATCTCCAGTATTCCCCACGCTAGTCCTACCCCATTCTTTCATCTTTTCTCTTCATCCTTCCATTTCCTGTCTCTCACCCTGGTTCTTACCCTGGCATCTCCCTCCAAGAGTTCCTCTCCTTGCCATGGTGGATCTTAGCCAGCTGAAGAGGGCAGAACGAGGGGCTGGGGCATCAGACAGACCCGTATTCAAACCTGCCTCTGGGGCTTGATCACCATGTGACCTTGAACAAATGATCCATCCACCCTAAGCCTTCATTTTCTATCTGTAAAGTACCTAGGTTGCTGAGGGTTCGAGGTAATGGTTATGATACCTTCTAGCAGTATGTCCAGCATGTAATTTCTTGATAAATGCTAGGGTTTCCTTCTATTGCCCTCCGTCAGGTCTGCACTGATCTGCCATGTGGGGGATTTCTGCTGTGCCCAAAGGCCACTCAGGGGGCCAACAGCAGGTGAGCAGGACCTCAGGCCTCCCTGCCCCCCCCCACCTGCAGAAGGCAGGCAGACAGGCAGATTCTCCCTGGCTGCCAGCTGCCGCATACCCTTTACCTGCCCACAGATCTTCAGGCTGACCCGAAGCAAGGTGAACGATGACAAGGCCCGCATCCTAATTCGTAGCCTCCTAGATCACCCTGCCCTTGAGGAGCTGGACCTGTCGCACAACCTCATCGGTGATCGGGGCGCACGTGCTGCAGCCAAGCTGCTGAGCCACAGCCACTTACGCGTGCTCAACATGGCCAACAACCAGGTGCGGGCACCTGGTGCCCAGTCTCTGGCTCACGCCCTAGCACACAACACCAGCCTCATTTCCCTCAACCTGCGCCTCAACTGCATCGAGGATGAGGGCGGCCAGGCACTTGCCCATGCCTTGCAGACCAACAGGTGCCTCACCACCCTGCACCTCGGGGGCAATGAACTGTCTGAGCCCACTGCCACGCTGCTGTCCCAGGTGCTTGCCGTCAACACCACGCTCACCAGCATCAACCTCTCCTGCAACCACATCGGGCTGGTAAGCCGTAACCTTCTGGGGCCTTTGGGAGGTGGGTGTGGGATCCAACTGCCTTGGGGTGCTTCCAGGGTAATTCTTAACAACACAGACTTCACCTCGTTCTAATCACAGCTCTGCCATTTTGCACTTGGTGAAATTACTTACCCTTTTTGGGCCTCCATGTCCTTATCTGTAAAATGGGGATAATAATAGTATCTACTTCTAAGTGGGATACTAGTTGTTTCTCGGAGGATGAGTTGTAAAGCAGTTAACATTGCAGGCGCTGGCTAGGATATCAGTCTCGCTAGCTGTTACTGTTATACAGGGTTATATCCTATGCTAGGCACTGATATCCCTCAGTGTTCCTTTATTCCTTCTGGTTATCTAGCAGAATGTGTATTCCTTTTTTTCCCCCCTTTTTTGAAGGTTTTGTTTTTAAGTAATCTCTACATACAACATGGGGCTCGAGCTCACAACCCTAAGATAAAATGTTGCATGCTGTACCAATTGGACCAGCCAGGCGCCCCTAATAGAATATGAATTCTTTCTTTCTCTCTTTCTTTCTTTCCTGTAAGATTTTTTTATTTACTTCCGAGACAGAGAGAGAGAGAGAGAGAGAGAGAGAGAGAGAGAGAGAGAGGTGGGGGAGGGGCAGAAGGAGAGGGAGAGGGAGAGAATCTTAAGCAGACTCCTGGCTGAGCCAGGAGCCTGACACAGGGGTTGATCTCATGATTCTGAGATCACAACCTAAGCTGAAATCAAGAGTTGGACACAACTGACTAAGTCACCCAGGCACCCCTATAATGTGTACTCTTTTTTTTTAAAGATTTATTTGTTTGTTTATTTGACAGACAGAGATCACAAGTAGGCAGAGAGGCAGGCAGAGAGGGGGAAGCAGGCTCCATGCTGAGGAGAGAGCCCAATGGGGGCTTGATCCTAGGACCTAGGATCATGACCTGAGGTGAAAGCAGAGGCTTTAACCCACTGAGCCATGCAGGTGCCCCAGAATGTGTATTCTTAACCCCACTTTACAGATGGAAAATTGAGTCTCAGAGAGGCTAGTGAATTGCCCAAGAGCACCCAGTCAGTAGAGAGTGGCAGGGCTGTGATTCAAACTCAGGACTGGTTGAATACCAGATTTATTTATTTGGGGCGCCTGGGTGTCTCAGTCAGTTAAATGTCTGCCTTCAGCTCAGGTCATGATCTCAGGGTCCTGGGATCAAGCTCCATATCAGGCTCCCTGCTAAGCAGGGAGTCTGCTTCTCCCTCTCCCTCTGCTTTTCCCCCTTCCCCTCCCCCACTCATGCACGCTCTCTCTCTCTCTCTCTCTCTCTCTAATAAATAAAATATTTCTTAAAAAGAGATTATTTATTTATTTGAGAGAAAAAGAGAGTGTGTGCTCAAGGGGCAGAGGCAGAGGGAGACGGAGAATCTCAAGCAGACTCCCAGCTGAGCACAGAGTTTGATGCTGGGCTGGATCTCTGGACCCTGAGATCATGACCTGAGCAGAAAACAGCAGTCAGACACTTAACCCACTGAGCCACCCATGCGCCCCACCTGGGTCCTTTCTGATAGATGATGTCTCTCATTTTCTTGACCAAGTCTCAGAATAAGAAATGCAGTTTACACGAACACCTAGTGAACATATCCATCAATATAGTATCATTGAAATGTATTTTTAGTGCTTGTGATACATGCGGATATTTTCCTTTATTTTCTATTCTACTTCATTTTTTTTTTAATGCATCTGCAACCCATTAAGCTGGCTTTGCTCTTGGGTCAAAACCATGGAACACAACCATTCTGCCTCTCACATAAGTCTTACATCGAGCATGGCCCACCCAGCCCAAAAGCAGCTGGAGCTGTGAGGACTAGTGAGGAATACCCTCCATCGAGAGAACAGTCTTGCTCAATCTCTCTCTCTCTCTCACACACACATGCACGTCTCCACTAGGGGTGCTTTTGGCTACAAATAACAAACCTGAACCAGGAAATGGCTTAAACAATATTCATTATGTCCCATAATCAGAAGCCCCAGGGTAAGGGGCATCTGGAGTTGATAAATTCGCCGGCTCACTGCCACCATCTGCTCTGCCCACCCAGCCACATGGCCATATTCTCTTGGGTGCTTCTCTCATGGTCCCAAGATGGCTGCTGCTCCTCACATAGGGCCATGCTCAGAGGCAGAGAAAGGGAGAGCACCCCTCTCTCTTGTTCTCTTTTCAGAGGGAGAAGAGCCTTCCCAGAAGCCACTCCCTCTATAGGTCCTCCTCAAATGTCATTAGTCATATTTGTCTCACACACCCATGGCTGAATCGGGGGAGGGCCATTACCATTATTGTCACAGAGCCATGTTTTTCAAACCATGAGGGTTGAAAAATCAATTTAGTAAGTCTTGATCACCGTTTTTCTTATAGAATAGAATGGGATGGGATAGGATAGCATAGAACACATTAGTGTGCTGCACAAAAGGTTAACCATTGTTTTGTGAAACTCATTCTAGTCACATCCTTGTATAAATGTATGTATGTGTGTGTACACACATGTGCGAGGGTGATCCTGGGTAGTGATATGAAATGGCCCCCTCCCTTGTACTCCTCTCCTCCCAGGATGGCGGGAAGCAGCTCCTGGAAGGCATGTTAGAAAACAAGACCCTCCTGGAGTTTGACCTGCGCCTGTCAGATGTAGCCCAGGAGAGCGAGTACCTCATTGGCCAGGCCCTCTGTGCCAACCGGGAAGCTGCCCGCCAGCGGACCTTGAATCCTGGCCAATTCATGTCCCCAATCATTGCCAAGGGCCCTGAGAACCCTGTGGGATAAGGTGGGGGACAGGGCTGGGGCAGTGTTGGGACCTGGGCCACTGCCCTAGCCCCCTCCTCATTTCATGCTCGGTCATGCCTGCTGTAGAGTGACACATTAGAAGGGAGAGACCACAGATACCCTTGGGGAGAGTGATCAAGGGTGATGTGGGAAAAGTCCTGAAGGGGGGAGGGGACTGGGATAGGGGGAGAGAGGGGTATGAAGTGGGACCCATCCTCTGTACCCTGGAAGAGGATATTACCAGAACCCCTGAAATGACTGTCTTCTTCCAGGGTTAGGGGAGGCAGAGAAGATTCTGAAACCCTGTGCCAGCCCAGACTCTCCCATGGAAATTGCCCATCTCCCTTACCTACTCTACCCCTTTCCCTTGACCATTTTCCTCTCTAGTAAATAGGTGCTGGACTTCTTTACCTTTAAACATGTGCGTGCCTGCACACGTGGGCACACGCACACTCTCAGTCTCTCTCTCCCTGGGCTACTGCAAGGCTTTGCCTGGCTCTTCTACCCTCACCCCTGTCAATGCTACCTTGCTGTTCCTTGACTCACTGACTCTGCTAAAGTGATCCGTTCTAAAGGCCATTCCATCCCCTAATTCTCACCCCACCCCACCCCCCACAACCCAGCAAGGGGGAAACAGAGGTGACAGGAGGGACTCAGACCACTGCCCCCACCAGGGAGCTTCCACTGGGAGTAGAGCGTGGGGGAGGTGCCACACTGGGGAGGGAAGTCAGTGAGTCATCCGCAACTTTATTATCCACCAGTTTGATTTGTACAATCTTTGCGCTTGGAAATCCACGACAGAAAGGCCACAGTGTGATGCACCCAAATGACAGAGACCTGTCTTCTCCCCAGCCAGGCCCAGCCCACCCCACAAGCCCTTGTCCTCAGCACATATGGAGCCTTCCAGTGGCCCTCCAAGAGTCCCCATGGTTCTGTGGCTGCCCACAGAAGTCACATCAGCCCCCAGGGCCACAGGAGGACCTGACAGATTCAGGCTGAGCCCCATCTCCCCTCCTCCTCCCGCTGAGAGGTCCAGAGCCTCCAGACCTGTGGTCTTTCCACAGGATGGGTCATGGGCTGCAGCCACAGCCCAGGGGTGCCTGCTCCCCAGGGACTCCTTCCAACAGCAGGCGCCATGCAGAGCACCAAAGGGGGCTTGGGAGCGACTGCACTTGTGTGCCTGTCTGGGCAACCTAGAGTCTGTCTGTGCCTGACACCCTCTGACAGTTCTGGAGTGCAAACGTGTAGATGTGAGGGTGTGTGTGAGAGTGTGTGTGTGTGTGTGTGCGTGTGTGTGTACATAGCCACAGCTGCTAGCAGAAGTTCTAATTAGAGAAACAAGAACATTCAGTGTAAAGTTTAATTTTAGAGATTAATTAATTTTCTGGTTTTCGTTTTCCCTGGCAATCAATAAAGCTACCAAGAAAATAGACCAAAGAATCAGTTTCTCTCTAAGTCTGTGCGTGTGTGGAAGGTGAGGCTTTCTGTGTAAGAAGACCTAGGCAGAAATGGTCAATACAGGCAAAAATAATAACAGGGTTCCCCCATCCCCTCCTCCTAGCTCAGGCTCCATCTCAGTAATGGGCCTGAGGGAGAAGGAGCTGAGTCCCTCCCTCTTTGGAGCCGGGAAGTGGCCAGGCTGCCTCCACACAAGGGCATGACATCCGGGGCCAGCTGGCCAAGAACTGGGGCCTGAGGCCACAGCTCACCACCTGGACCTCACAGATGTCCCTTCAGAGGAAAGAGGGGTGCTCCAACCGCCAGGGCCCCAAGGAGCACAGACTCAGGGTTCAGGCAGGTTCAGTGACAGCAGTCAGGTGGCCACGGGTGCCCAGGCCCAGGGAAACTCAGTGGGCAGCTGTTCCCTCCTGCCCAAGCCTCCTGTTCTCCAGCTGCCTCTGCCTTCCCACTTAGCCATCTCCACAGGAAAGTAAAGCTCAATCCCAATGGGCCATGGGCCATGGTGTCCCCACAATCCAAACCTCCCAAGTCCCCTGGGGGAAGGGGTACGGGGAGCCAGAGATGTTGCATAGGTGGCAGTCATGCCCTTGGCAGGTGTAGTCCTGGCTAGGCTGGAGGAAGATGGGAGAGGAGGCTCAAGGAGGGGAAGAAGGAGCTCTGGCGGCTCCGGTGAAGTGAGGAGCATCAGGGGTGAGCGATGCTGGCGGGCCCCAGGGTTATCCTCTCCAGCTTGAAATGTGAGCTCAGTCCCTGGGCACTGAGTCCACTGGGAACGCATTAGGCAGGGGGGTTGGGAGGGCAGGGGGCACATAGACATGCACACTGAAGCACATCAGGGTGGGAGTGCTGGGGGAGAAAAGGCTGCCTCAGAGCTTTAGGAGAACAGCAGGTAGCAGGGTGTCCTTTGGAAGACCCTGGGGCACGCTGCAGGGCTTCAGCACATGGGATAGATGACAGAGGGGTTGGGCAAGATTTAGAGAATTTCCGCCTCTGACCCTGCCCCTAGAATTGAGTATTTCTCCAGCCAGGACTCATGAAGACAACCTCAGCCCTGCAGAGGTAATGTGTGGGGGCACAAACCGCTCTTCACACCACCATCCCCCACAAGTCTGGGGAAGGCAAGGAAAAGGTTTCATCCCAGAAACCCCTACCTTTGGCGGTCCTTTCCGTCTCCCTCCACTGCCCACTCCCACCTGCTATGAGAATTCCCCTTTGCCACCTGGGTCTGTCTCCCACTCTTCCCACCCACGCATTTATCTTGACCAGCTTTAATGATCGTGTGTGGCAGTATCCCACTCCTCTGAAGGGAGAGCCCTCCCAGAACCCAGGCCAGGACGCTGCAGAATTTAGAGACAGGACTGAGGTGCATACTGTCCACATTTTGCCTCCCTCCTCCCTGGGCAACTGTTCTTCAGGGCCAGAGAGCAAGAGGGAAGGGAGGAGGGTGCCGCAAGCAGTGTGAGTGCAGTCCCTCCAGGACCCACACTCCAGGGACCCAGCTAAATAAACAGCAGTGGAGAGTGACAGAAAGGAAACCCCGATGTTTGGGGCCAGCGCCAAGAAGAGGATAGCAACATTTGCACGGTTTTGAGATGGAGCGCCGGGGCTGACATCTGGCCCCAGTCTCAGACCCGCTAAATTCATTAGCTGGTTGGAAGCCAGCCCTGCTGTTCACCACCGCTCCCTCCGCAGGGAAAGGCTCTGGTGGGGCTAGGCAGCGAAGGAAGGAAAGCCCCAGTTCCCCTTCCCCACGCCTCTAAACCTCCCCGCTGCATAGCCAAAGCCTCGCCCTTGAGGCGGGCCCCACGCGGTGCCACACAGCACAGTCGCCACTAACAGAAGATCCATTGAAAGGCTGGACGGGAAATCGCGAGTGTGAGAGTGTGCGTGGAAGAAGGTGAGGTGTCCCCCTAAGAACCGAGCGGCGGGCTGGAAGAGCCGACTGTGCCCGGGCTGGGGCTTCTCCAGAGCCGCCGATCCCCTCCCACCCATCGGTCTCTTTATGTACAGGAAAGGCGGAGGGTCCGGACCCCATCGGGGTCCGTCCGGCGCACCCTCGCCTCCTGGCTCCCCGCGCCGCGCCCAGCACAGCCTCAGTCACCATCACGACTCCCCCTGCTACAAGCCAGGGACACAGTCCGACGGGGGACAGGAGGGAGGACGGAGGGCCTGGCGGGGGAGGAGGGGCGGAGGTCACAGTGAGGTCTCTACGCAGGAGCCGTGGCGGTGCAGCGGCCGGTGGCTGTGGCCCAGACACCCCTCCTGCCGGTGCACGATGAGTACCGGGAAGTAGAGGGCGTCGTGGTAGGGTGGCGGCGGCCCGGCCTCCTCCTCGTCGTCGTCCTCGTCGTCACCCATGCTGGCCTGGCTCGACAGGCGCGTCTGCTCGGTGGGACAGCTGGCCTCGTTGACACTACCGCTCCGGCTGCGCCACAGGCAGCTGCGTCGGGAGCCGTAGAGGCGGCCGAGCGAGAAGCGGCTGCCCCCGCAGCCCGGGCCGCCACCGGGCCCGGGGCCCGCCCGCGGGCTGGCGCAGATGCTGAGCGCGCTGCGCGAGAAGATGGACGAGCTGCTGACAGCGCGCTGGCAGTGCTCGCAGCTGCGCCGGTACGGGGCCACGCCCGCCGCGCCCGGGCCGCCCACCCCGCCGTAGCGGCACGCGGGCGCGTACCCGCCGCCCACCGCCCCCGCGCAGCGCGCCCCCAGCCCCGCCAGGTCCATGAGCACCGCCTCGGAGTAGCTGGGCACCAGCTGCTGGTTGGAGCGGATGTGCCACTCGAGCTCCGTGCTGTCCACCGTGTTGACCCGCGGCAGGCGGTGCGTCAGCGGGGGCAGCAGCTCGTCGCTGGGGCTCAGGCCGCCGCCCGCGCTGCTCGCCGAGCCCGGGCCCTCCAGGCCGAAGAGCTTCTCCACGTGGTAGTGCGCGTAGGCCGTGCGGTACTCGGCCAGCACGCGCAGCGGCCACGACAGCGTCAGCAGCGCCGCGGCCCAGAAGGCCGAAGAGCAGGCGTACCACGGCGGCCGGGCTGGGTCCGGGAAGGCCACCATGAACTCGCGGAAGTCCACGTTCTTGAGGTGCATGCCCTCGCGCGCCTCCATGTAGTCGTCCAGGCCCTCGTTCTCGGCGAAGAAGCGCGCGCGCTGGCACAGGTAGGCGTTCTCGGCCTCCACGCTGGCGAAGCTGAAGCACTTGGTGAAGCGCAGGCGCGTGGCCGGCGCGCCCTCCAGCCCCACCAGCGCCTTGGACACGTCGCGGACGCCGCAGCGCGCGTAGTCGAACTCGGCCTCCGCCACGTGCGTGTTGACGCGCTCATGGTAGACCTACGGCGCCGGGGAGGGCGGCGGGAGTCGCTTCTGTCGGCTCACCCTCGTCCGCCCCATCGCGCCGCTCTTGCTGCCCGCTCAAACCCCGAGCCCGCCCCGCTTTCGAGCCCGCTTGGAGCCGGGTGGGATCTTATCATCTGCTTTGCAGAGCCACGCGGGCCCTCAGCGTCTTCGGTTAGAGAGGAGGACCGGCGGGAACTCAGACCTCCCGGTGT